TATATATTTACAGATTAAATATTACAAAAATAAAAATATTACAGAAAAATATTACAGAAAAATATTACAGATTATATTTTAGGCATAATATAATTTATATTTACCTGTATTTATATTTATACTATTTATATTAACTATTGTGTATTTAACAAATCTGTATTATTTGAAAGAAAGTTTTTGTCTTCACAATTAGCTTTTGCATGTTTATTTCTTACAAATGCGTATTTTAATATACATCTAATAGTTTTTTTTTCTCCTTTTTATAGACTTATTTATTATTTCGTTTTTTTAGGCATTTAGTGTACCAGATTATACGTAAGTTTTATTGCTTTCCTTGTGTTTTATAAATACTTAAGTATCATTTGAAAAGAAAATGGAATATCCAATTAAATTCGTTAATTTTGTTACCTAAGTATTAAAGATATAAATAATATGGGAACAAACCAAACAGGATAAGAAATATTATAAGATATATCCTTTTTCTCTGGCTATTTTTACATTTGCCATTTAATATCTATAAGAAAATAGCCAGGTCGAACAATAACTTGTTATAAAAATGTTTTTATTTCAAAGAGTAAGCAATCACGATATAAAAAAACAGATTGAAACGTACATACATAAATTATTGAAAAGAATGGAAAATTGCAAAGCATGCACTGCAATTATTTAAATTTATACGAAGAATACTTTTTATTATCTTTGCTGCAAAAAAGTACCTAATTTGTTGAGTAGCACTCCTTCAATTTCTATAAATCTGTATAGATACTTTTAAAAATATTTGTGTACCTCCACAGTTCTTAATAAGTTATGTATTAATAAAATATAATTCGCAATCATTTGTGACATACTTGCCAAACGCATGTTGTAAATACATAATTTAAGCACCACTGTGGAAACCCATATATAGATATTTTACTGTATTGTTGAAGCAATAAATATTTTATTTTATTTCGATTAAAAATATTTATTAATATTTATATATAATATAATATGCATTGTGTAAATAGTTGCTAGTAGCTACAATTATGAAAATGTAACATCTGCACAAGCGCGAAACTTTTGATAATGAAGTTAACCGGAATTATGCGAGGATTCGTTCTAGTCATAATTATATTTTGAATATGATAATGGAATACCGTATACTTGTTACCGTTTATTACCCAACATTTTCCATTACATGTAAATATATCGGGGAATGCGCAGGTGTCTCGTACGTAATAAAATAATGCACAAATACGACGGTTTGTAAAATATTAATAATACTCTAACGGTATTGAAAGAAATATTAAGTTTGTTAAATGTTCTTTGCAGATAAATAAAGAGATAAAAAAATTTCCGATGACGTTAAGCATGACAACGATAGATATTCTAAAAAATATTGTCCACTTTTTTTAAAAATACCAAAAAAGTATTTTAATTTGCAAAAATAGTAAAACAGTTTGTAAATTAAATAATAATTTAAAATATGTTAATATTCAGATGTTTAAACGCTAAAATATAGAAAAGTTACACGCGCGCGTAGCTCCGTAAATAAATGTGATGAAATCTTAAATAAATATTTAGACAAGATGCAATAAAATATTATTATTATTATTGTGAAAATTAAATTCGGAGAAGCTCTTATTAAAAAGAACATTATGAAATTAATTGACAAAAATTAGAATTTGAATATATTATGTACAGACTTTTACAAAGAACAGGATAAGGAGAGAATCTTAATTTACAATTTGTAAGCGTTAATTAACCGTTAATTCAATGAATACCAACGATATAATCCAATGGTTCACTTACGCCATGCCATCGAATATATCGTTGAAACCGCTACTCGCTATGCTATAGTGAAATTCCACTCTAAAGTAATTAAACAGCCGCGTCATCGAAGCACAACTTTATCATCGTATCCTACTCAACATCATTTCTGCCATTAACACTTCCATCGTCTCGAACCTTCTTCTAGAAGAAGCTCTTGATGCTTTGGCACTTATGCCAACAATATATGTTTCTATGCTTTTGATAGTGAACCATGAAATGATTCATTAAATCTAAATCGTCTCTTTCCTACAAAAAATATTAACTTCAATTCTATTTCAATTTCCTACATTTTTATATTAAAATTTTCTTCTAAATCTTTGTTTGAGATAAAAAAAGAGAGATAATAATTTTTTTACGACGTATACAATACGCTTTTCACAGCTAAATAATTAATGGAAGATAATTTGTTATTAATATTATTTTAAAAGGATTAATTTAATATCTTTTTTCTTATTTAATATCTTTTTTTATATAAAGAAATATGGGGGGGAGAGGGGATAATTAGATATTAATAATCTATAAAATAATCAAACATATATGACAAATAATCAAAGAAGAGGATGCTTTCCGCGTATCTGAAAGACCCCATTCTTGTAGTGCAGTGGAATAACTAGTCGACTAAACCGACATCTCATCACACTTCGTCAAAGTCACTAGTATTATAAGAAAGACATAAATATTAGTACATATTTAAATTTTTAATAATATGTTAACTATCTTTTATTAATTTTGGAATGCAAATTTTTTCTCGTACAATAATTTGTACAACATTTATTACATTATCTTTAAAAAAATTCTTAAGAATTTCCTATAATATACATATATGAATTTAATTTTTGAAACCGCAAAATCTTTTTAGAAGCACAAAACAAATTTCTTCCTGTTTGATATATTTATATAGATGTAATTCAAAAAAACGAAAATGAGTTGAAAAGAACCAAAGAATCTGCAAAAAAAAGAGGTACTCAATTTAATTACAACGATCCACAGAAATACGAGTATTCTATATAAATTGCTTTATGAAAGACAGATACGGAAAACCTAAAGCTCATGATCAAACTAAAGAGAATCACTCTCGTTTGAAAGAAATAAAAAAATTGCTATATTTTATTGTAACAAATTGTTTAACAATATTATATTTTAATATTAATTAATAACATTAACGATAATTGGCAAAACATTTTATATAAGAAAATATAAGAATGAAAAATGAATTGGCCAGACAACTCATCAAAAGTCTGAGTGTTGTTTCAATCGTCATTTTTGAGACAACTCGGAAACAGTAGTACATTCCAATTGAATGTACAACTTATGTGCACGTGTGTGTCTGACGTTTGTATGCAAGCAGAAAAAGAGCATAAAAAAACTATGCTCGACATTTGCGACCTGCGAGTACGAGGCGAGCGTCAGATTAAAAGCGGAATTAATTAATTCACATACAGTGTAATCCATTCGATGTACATGATACTTGTGTGTGCGCACTGTCGACACTTTATTCGCATCTTTGCTGCACTTCCTGTTATACTGGTGATCGCAGTGGACAAAGAAGATTGATCATCCGTTTCATTCGATTTCGCGGTGAAATTGCGCGCGAATTTCCTTTTATCAGATTACAAATGAAAAAAATGCCTTATGCGAACGGGACGCGGCCTACACATGACCAGTGATGTGCCTGTAATTGTATATGCTTTGTAACGTAATGTATCTTGGATGAATTTTATATAAATGAGAGATTTTATCTAGAATTTGAAATTATCCCTTTGTAAAAATTTTCATTCAGCTTTTAAAGAAATTTTATTGGAAACTTAATCATTATTTATTTTATTATTTATTGTCATTTAATGTCTAGGAACTCAATACTAAAACTCCAATAAAATATCAATACTAAATTGTTATATAAAATTGTTATATAAAAAAAATATAGAATTCAGGGATAAATTATAGAGATAATATTCCTCGCTTTATGAGATCTGAAACAGAAAAAAATCATTCTCATAAATAAACTCGAATGGCATATATGCGTGTATCTTTAGTTTATTTTATTAAAACTAATAAAAATGTTATATAAAAATTAATAATTATTTATTATATTATATCTCTTCCATATCTCGCTAATTTAACAAAAATGTGAATTTTGTTTTTATGTATCTTGATTTTTTCATGAATTTAAATTTTATATATCAGTATCTAATGACTGACGATGCGTTAATATATTTTTACAAATATTAGTCATATTTATACGCGAAAGCACATCATCACATTTCAACACATTTCGAGAGTCACGCACTCGGATATTCATGGCATTTGACTCAAAGCAGAAGCCGAACTCGATAAACATATAATGACAACGAAGCGCAAATGGATCGATTTGATTAGACGCAATCAAATCGATAAGAACTATTAAGTCCACATTTAACTGTCTCAACAGCTTCTAGCTATTTCATGCGAGTAACTTTTACTGAATTTTTCATTGAAAACTGTTTCAAAATATCAGGATATTTCGAGTTTCTTCCAAATCAACGAATATCTGTATCGAATAGAATCAAAATATAAATTGCAACAAAATATTGCAAACATTTTCTTAATGGAATATCTTCTATGATTCAAGATTCAATCTAGTCTGTATATAGATAAACAACAGTAAAAATTTCTTTGCGCAGAAAAGTATTTTCTCAA